GCTGTTCTCAACGCCTGTTACCGGGGCTGCCGGCTGTTCTCCATCTGTCACTTCGTGGATGCGAGCGCCGAGCTCAACACGACCAGAGCTGAGTGCGAAGCAGGTGAGAGGAGCCGTGGCCGAGCGGCCCCCGCGCCCCAAATCCCGGGGGATCCCCATCCCCACATCCCACGGGAGCCCCGATCCCGACACCCAACACCCTCTGCAGTGCCCGCCCTGCGCAGCCCCACAGCCAGCGGGGAGGGCTGAGGTGCCCTGGGTGGCACTGGGGAGGGGCACGGGGGTCCCCGGGATTGGGCACCCCCAACCCCAACCCTTCCTCTCCCCCAGCCTGTGCTGAAGCCTACGGCAACGCAGAGGAGCAGTTTGGGTGCGTGACCGGGTGCCGCAAGCAGCTGCCCGAGGTGGAGGAGAGCAGGAAGGAGAAGGTGAAGGGAGATGGGGAAATCCTTTCTTGAACAGGAGCTCAGCACAGCCCCTCCTCTTCCTCGGGATGGGGGACACCCCACATGTGCAGCCCATCCATCCATCCATCCATCCATCCATCCATCCATCCATCCATCCATCAATGGATGCATCCATCAATGGATCCATCAATGGATCCATCAATGGATCCATCCATCCATCCATCCATCCATCCATCCATCCATCCATCCATCCATCAATGGATCCATCCATCCATCCATCCATCCATCCATCCATCCATCCATCATCCATCCATCCACCCATCCATCCATCCATCCATCCATCCATCCATCCATCCATCATCCATCCATTCATCAATGGATCCATCCATCCATCCATCCATCCATCCATCCATCCATCCATCCATCCATCCCTCTATCCAGATGGGAGCTCCAGCTGTGCCAGGCTGATCCAAGCCACCACTGGTTGCTTTGTCACAAATCTAAAAAGCAAATTAACTGTGCTGGGCTGGGCTTGGGCCAGGCAGGGCGAGCACAGGGAATCCCCAGGGTGAGAGGATCTGACTGGGCATCGTGGCAGATTCCCCCAGTTTTGATTTGTTATCCTTCCCAGCAATCAGCAACGCTTTCCCCTCCTACATTTAATTAATTCAGCTATTGCCCAATTAATTAAATTAGACTTTGGCCCAAGGAGGAGGCTTTTGGCTCCGTGCACGTGCAGGCAAAGATGAATCAGTGCCGTAAAAAGGGTGAAAAGCTCCTTTGAACTCCCCTCCTTTGCAGCCCCGTTTTAAGACCTCCCCAGTGCCTGATCCCATTTCCCAGCCCCTCTCCAAGGCCAGGGATGAGCCCTCACCCCCTCCACCCACCCAAAGCACTTTCCCTCAGGTTCCCAGACGAGCAGGCAAAGCAGATTTAGCATAATAATTAGATACAGAATCTGACCTATTTATTTCCTGTTTGCTGGTTTGACCGTGCAAGGGGCTGTCGGAAAATGTTCGGAGCCAGTGGCAGGGAGCAGCCAAGCGGATTCCAGCAGGGATGCTTTAAAAATAACAAACTGCCGCGACGGCCAAGAATCCAGGGCACCGAGAGGCTGCCAGGAGAGCAACGCCCTCGGCACCGCGGCCGCTCCGCTCCCATTGTCTCCGGCACAGGAGGGAGATCCCACCCCAAAGGGACGGGCCCGGGGCTGGGGGATGGCCCCAAAGTTGGGTGGTCACTCCAGGGACCCTTGGTGACCCTCCTGGGGCAGGAGCACAGCCTGGAACATCCCTTTGTGTGCTGGGAGAAGCAGAGCCCAGAGCCGAGCTGAGCTCAGCCCAGCCGTGATGGGGTGGGATGTCCCCTGTCGGGGTGGGTGACAAGGGGACAGCTGTGAGGGGATGTCCCCGCTCCTTTGCAGAGCCTGGAGCTGAAATTGCCGTCGTTCTCCATGCTGGATTTGGTCTCCACCTTCTGCAACGACATCGTCAGCTCTGCCCAGAGCTTCATCTCCTCCACCTGGACCTTCTACCTGCAGGCGGATGATGGCAAAGTCGTGGTGTTCCAGGTGGGGGTGTCCCCAGGACCCTTCTGTGGGTGCCCACAGGGGTGGGGACCCCTTTCCTCACTGCCTTCTCCCTCTCTCCCTGCCGACCCAGTCCCAGCCTGAGATGGAGTTCCCAGCAGCCGAGGCCCTGGAGATCCAGCCAGCACAGCCGGGATCGGGGTCGGGGTCCAGCCCTGGTGTCCCCCAGCCCCACACAGGTTTGGGAGGGTCTGGGCTGCTGGGAAGGGGCTGGGAGGGGGTTGGGAGCCTCCGAGCCCTCCTGGCTCCTTTCCGAGTTCTCCAGAGCTGAACAAATTTCCCATTTCTTGGGCCTATTCAACTTCCCACACCCCCACCCACACTGAGGGGGCTCTGGATGGGGCCCTGGTGGGATCCTCGGTGCCTCCTTAGTGGGCAGGGGGTTCCAGGGGGAGAGGGGAGGGTGTGCCCATGGATGTGCCCATGGGTGTGCCCACATGGGTGTGCCCCATGTTCAGCATCGCCTCTCCCCTGCCAGGCCCCCGGGCAAAGGGGGACAAGCCCCCTGTGAAGGAGCCGCGGGGCAAGGCCAAGGTGCATCCCCCGGAGCCCCCGCAGCAGGAGCACGACTTCCTGGGCTGCATGTCCAAGTAGGTGCTC